CCCATTTCCATCTCTGCGAACTTTCATGAACCATCGCGTGGTACATAGATCACAGATGCTTTGTTCCTTAATATGCCGATTCAGAGATGGCACCCTTCCAAAACTAATGTTAGATTTTCAAACTGACAGTTAAGATAGGGTTTTAAAGAAAGCATTCCCCAGCATAGTACCTTCTCTCTTGTCACTATGTGTTAATTCCACTTAGAGAAAAACACACTTAATTGTTTCAAAGATTACTTTTTTTTTTTTTTAGTAAATTTGTAGTAAATGGGGGAGATTAATAAAGGGCTATTTTTTTCTCAGCCTGTGGTTTCTAATTACATCAGTTACAGCTCAGCCTTCTTCTTAACTAGAGTGCAGGCATAAACTGGAAAAGAATGAGCTAATCCATGATAGATCAGGTGGAATAAAGATCTCCATTCATATCTTTACTTTTATCCCTTGTTCTGAGTGCCAAGAATTAATGCTGTTTGAAAGTACAAGCTGAACCTGCCAGGCCCCAGTGGCTGAGATAATCCTAATTATTTTCAGTGTTAGTGAGAAGGGTAGCCGCCACACTGGGGGGGGGGGGAGTTTTCTATTGTGAAACATTAAGTATCTGCTAAGTAGTATTGATTGGATCTGATTTTATTTCCAAACACGACTGTTATGGTGAAGCAGGAGAATTCGTTGTTGAAGAAATTTTCATAGCTTTCCACCATTCAGAAAGTCACCAAGCCATTTTTCTCTTCCTAGGCAAGAGTGGCCAGGTGAAGAACTGACACCCACTCGCGTTTTATTTTTTAATGGTTTCTTAGTAGGAGTTTAATAGTATTTAACATACAGAGGAAGAACATTTTTCCCCGTCGAGCACGGAATAGTGCGTTTTCTCACCTCACTGGGAGAGAATTACTTGTTCCAGCCCATTGACTTCCAACAGATTATTCAAGGTAAAAGTCAGGGGTCTTTGCAATGTCAAAAGACTGAGCAGTTAGAGTGGTTTTTGTTTGGTTTGGTTTTTTTTTTTTTGTTTAAAGAGGGTTTTTCCTTTTACTTATTTTTTTTCCTTGTGGCAGTGTACAATCATTTTTTTCCCAAAAAGAATAGTGGTAGTTAGATGGCCTCTCCAAAATCATCTTAAATGTTTCTTCTTCATATTGATTAGAACTATTCTGGCTAAGGTTTTGTTTGTTTGTTTGTTTGTTTTGAAATAATAATAAAAGAAAGACCGTTTAGACAAGTAAGCTATCTGAGAGACACCAGGCCCTAGGCTTGCTGGTTCAAATGGGGGTCAGCTCTATGCTCCATCCACCTTCTTTGTAACACAAGAAAAGATCAGATGGGCAAGTTTTCCTTCTTTCTTTCACTTTACTGTTCAACCTCGCCTCTAGCCTCCAGAATCATTTCTTCCATTTCTGTAAATGCTGCCAGGCTAGCTGTGATTATGGGTTAGCATAATCCTTAATTGGTTATTGCCTGTGAATGCTTCCTGCCCCCTTTTTTTTCCTCCCCCAAGCACTAAAGCGGGGCACTCACGTCTTCAGTGAGCATCTCTGAGCCAATTATTCTTTCTTTCTTTGGGGTTATTCCCCAGAGTGGAATTACCAGGTCAGAGGGCTGAACAGTCTCTTGGTTCATATTACATGTCACCAAATTGCTGTCCAGAAAGATTAAACCAATTTCTACTGCTTCCAGTAACTGTCTCTACACAGCCCAGGACATTATAAGTTAGGAGAATTTTTACAAAATGATTCATCCAAATCTTTTCTGTTGAGATTAGACCTGCCCAGGGACCATTAGAGTCCACTTAAAAAGAGAGAGGTTTTGGAAAGGGATCACTTTGGGTGTTTAAATTTCTAATTGATATTCAGTAATTTGCAATGGTCAATCATGAATAAAGGTACTAAAGTTGCATTAAAATGGATGAGATGGCTGGCTGCTAGTGCCTGTAATCCTAGCTACCCAGGGGCTGAGATCTGAGGATCAGGATTGAAGCCATCCCAGACAGGAAAATTCCATGGGACTTTTTATCTCCAATTAACCAGCAAAAAGCAGGAAATGGAGCTGTAACCCAAATGGTAAAGCACCAGCCTTGAGCAAAAAAAATCTGAGTTCAAACTCCAATGTCAGAAGGCTGGGGGGCCGGGGGCTAGGCCAAGATAACCTTAAAGGACAGTATTAAAGAACTGCAGTAAAGGGGCTGGGAAGGTGGCTCAGTGGTAGAGCGCTTGTCTTTCATGCATGAGGCCCTAAGTTCAATTCCTCAGCACCACATAAGCAGAAAAAGCTGGAAGTGGCGCTGTGGCTCAAGTGGTTAAGTGCTAACCTTGAGCTGAAGAACTGAGGGACAGTGCCCAGACCCAGAGTTCAGGCCCCACAACTGACCCCCCCTCCAAAAAAAAAAAAAAACGAATTGCAGTAAAATAGATCTTGAGTATTAGCAAAGGGAGGAAAACACTAAATCTTTGTTAGGCAGTTTGGAACTTTTATGAAGTGCTATACAAAATGAGTCGAACAGACACTGTCCCTAATTTCTACACCTAATATTCAAAGACATACTAAGCCTTGAGTGGGTTAATAAAACAATAATATGGATTTAGATTTTGAGTGGAGAAACACTTTTTCTAAATGCAGGTGCTTTTCAAAACAGATTGAGTTCATGTATTTACTCCTTCTCAGGAGCTCAGTCATGCGTTAAGTGGGCTCCGAGCTCGATCTGTGCAGGTAACACATTCTTTGTATCTCATATCACACAGGGACTTTCCAAGGAAACACTTCCTAGGCAAGTGAGAGCAAAAGGGGAGGCGCTTCCCAAATTTCTTTCTTTTCCAGAATTCCCACTCTTCCCTCTTTCTCGTCTCAAATTTGCTACATGGGGGTTGGGCAAGAACTCACTTTTCTTTATCTTCTAACTGTAGGAGAAAAGCAGGCCGAGGGCAGAAGTGTTGGAGAAACTTGCTCATTCCTGAACAGACTCTGCATCTGCCTGGCAGGGTTCATTTCTGCATCCCCTTAATCCCACACAGGGACTAGAAAGGTGATCAGGGTTAGAATAAACTGCAAGAGCATGCCAGTCAGGGTCTCCCTTATAAAATGGGCGAGAATTATGCTCTCTGTGAATGCTTTGAGGGATGAAATACCCCATTACAGTATGGGTCATACTAAAAGGTAGTGGCTTTGGGCAAGCAGATGAACTCAGACTCTCCAGTGTGCTCTCCACCTGGACATACTCACAAGATCTCAGAACAAAGACTACCACCTTTGAACAACATTTCTTCCTTTGTATATTCACAGTCCGGTGCCTGTACATGGTGTGTGCAGTATGTATGTACAAGTTACAAGTCACTTTGTATTTGCAAGGGCTGTGAAATCCATATTAACAACTCAGATTTAGTGAGATGTTGTTGTTGCCTGCAAGAAGGTTAGAAGATGCACATGAATACTTTTCTTCCCTTCTCCACCCCCGGCATCTATAAAACATCATTTAATGATTCCTATTTCTTTGAAAGCAAACTGTTCCTTTTTAAGTGACAACAGACTGAAATTCATTATCAGTCATCATTGATACAAAAAGTAATTGCTTGTCAGGAAAATGGCTTTTCAAATTTCTTCACCTTATGAAGTCTTCAGAGCATCCTTTATTGGTTATAGAAGTAGCTAGGTGAGAAAACAACAGCAACCTGTCCATCTGTCTTATCTGTATGTCACCTTGGGGGAAGAAAATAATTTGGTCCAATGGTTAAAGGTCCACTTGTGAAATCGCAGCTCTGATCTTTTTATTTCCACTAGCGGAAGCAGACCTTTTCCAAATGCATAACAAGTGTAAATAGTGTTCTCTTGTAAAAAGGTCCTTTCAGCATAATATACCTTATTAAATTCCAAACATAATAAGTATTGATGGCAAACATTTCAGAACCCAGTACAGCTTCTTCTAGGATTTAGTTCTCTCCAAATGACTTCAGCACTCAGCTCCCGGTGCATTTTGCTAATTACATCATAGATTTCCCTATTGATGAACACAAGCTGAATTAACACAGGAGCACTAATGTACCCTTTCACCATTATTGTCGTACAAGAAGCCGTGGCAGATGCTGGCAGTTAGTTACACAAACATTAGTATTAACGATTGGCCATTTGGAATTGGTGACAAACTACTGCCCGGCAGAATCCTGAGGCTGAAACCAATCAGGAAGTTAATGAGGAGAGAAATTACCACTGCAGCTTCCCTTTAATTACATTCACACTAGGCATGAAGGGAGTTCTGGGGGTGGATCTAAACTCAGCTAAGGTTAAGAAGGTCAGAGACCCTTTTGCTTAAATTTTGTATCTATTGCGGCTGGTAGGGTTGCAAAAAATTGTTTATTAGCACATTACTATAGCATCCTTCATATTTAATGTCAGTGTCTCAGTTTTTATGTTCATCTGTTTGTTTTCAAAATCTTTACCTGCTAGTTTATTGCGATATAATTTATCTTCTTCCATTAGAAAAAATCTCTCCCATTTACTGCTTTAAAAAACTTATGTGCATACACACACACAAACACATTTGTTGTCTAGTTTTCAGTCAAGGGAAGTAATAGTGGAGTTGATAATGCCATCCACTTTGTTTGCTAGATCTTTCCAGATAGAAAATACATGGGTGGAGTCTTGCTGAGGAATAATTTCTCTGAACTCTTTCCTGTGGCCCGCTTCACCAGACAAGTCTCATCTGCATCCTTTGCATAAAGGAGCAGATTTTTCTTGGTTTTACTTGGTAATGAACACAGATTTGAGACTCTACTACTCTTGTATTAAGTAGAGGTACTGTGTAGTGTGTGTGTGTGTGTGTGTGTGTGTGTGTGTGTGTGTGTAATTCTAAAGATGATATTTTGAGGGTCTGTAAAAAAACACTTGCAAAATTCCAAACAGAAATGGAGAGTGTCACTTTCTTTGTTGGAACCTAATTGAATATGGAATGTAGAAAGATTAGCCACTTTTAATTTTCTTCTTTCCTCCCTCTCTTTCTCTTTCCCACTTCCCAG